AAAAAAGAAAAAAGAAGAAATAGGATGGCTACTTACATTGAGATTATTGTGTAATTAAATTTTTAGGGCATTTCATACCCCTGGGACTGTGTCCAGCACTTATCTCCATAATAAGCACAAATACCCTTGTGATGGTCTATCCACCCATGTGTCCCCTACTCAGTCCATGTGACAGGATAAGCCACTGAATGCCCCTTCTGGAAACATAAATGAGAAATCTACATGACATATTGCTGGACACTAAGAATGCATGGCTACCTGGAATGGGATGTGGGATGTTTATGCCAACATCTGGCAGGCATTTGGGGCTTAATAGTTAATAATCTTTTTGTTATTGTGATGGGTTACCATTTGTGTGCTGTTCTATGAAAGATGGAGGGAAAGCAATGTAAGAAGATTTGTTCATAATAAAAGGGAAAGACTTCACTAATGACTTCATCTCTTCTAGCCTCAGTTTTCACCTCTTGAAAATAGGGATAAGTATGTCCTCTTTATAGGACTTCATGTGGGCCCAGTGCATTTAAAATGCTGAACATAATGCCATCCAGTCAGTGTTCCAGAAATGTTGGCTATTAATGGATGGGTTTTGAACTGTATCCCACATTCCACTGGGTCAGTTTTCAACTCTTGGGTAGGACACTGACTAGTAAGTCTTTAAAATAAATACGCATCCATATGGCTTCAAGAATAATATTTGGCTTCCTGTGCTTCATTTTCTCATATAAAGGGTACACCTGAGCACCCTGCACAGGCATGACAGCACACACACGCACACACTTAGTTGCTACTTCATAATTAAAGGACATACTCAAGAGTCAGGTTGATGTCATTACACATTAACTCTGGAAAGGTGCAGAGTTTTTTCTTTTTACTTAAGTGAAAAGGCTTCATGATACACAAGTCAGAAGTTTGCTTCATTTCAGCACTGGGCATTCTGAGCCTGTTGTGGAAATTTTCTACACCCTTTAAGGCCACGTCTCGGGTGTTGTTGGGGCTGGAAAAATGGGTCAGCAGAATAAATAATTCTTCTGGTCTTTCAAGTTGGAGCCCTTGTGAATGGAGGATGTATCTCTGTGTAATGGTGCCCCCTTTAAAAATAGGAATGGACTGACATGGCCAAATTGGTAGTCATTGGCACAAGACAGAGAGAACCAAAACCAAAACTAACAAATGCTAATACTACTGTTTTTAACAACAGGAACAAAAACCTTAAATGTCAATCACTATGGAAGATAAGAATAAACCCATATATCCATTTCATGGAATGCCATGTAACCACTAGAAAGAATGGGTTTGGTCTGGGTATTAACATCAAAAGAACTCCATACTGATTTATAAAAGCCAATTAAAAATGATGTGCACACCATGACATCTTTTATATAAAGAGCATATACACAATACTGTGAATACTATATACATAATACATATATATGCATAAAAAGGTAAAGTTAAAGTACACATGATAATCTAATGGTGGTGTCCTCTGAGGGAGAGCTAGAATACCAAGCTGGTAGTAGCATTATTCAAAATATACTTAACCTTTCCTTTAATGTTTCTTTCTCATTTTTTCTTTTTTTAAAAAATGAGTCAGGGTGGGGCGCCTGGGTAGCTCAGTCGGTTCAGCGTCTGACTTCGGCTTAGGTCATGATCTCGCGGTTCGTGGGTTTGAGCCCCACGTCGGGCTCTGTGCTGACAGCTCAGAGCCCGGAGTCTGCTTCGGATTCTGTGTCTCCCTCTCTGATCCTCCTCTGCTCATGCTGTCTCTCTCTCACACAAATAAATTAAAAAAAAAAAAAAAAAAGAGTCAGGGTGCCTGGGTGGCTCAGTTGGTTAAGCGTCTGCCTTCAGCTCAGGTCATGATCTCATGATTTGTGAGTTCAAGCCCCACATCAGGCTCCATGCTGACAGTTCAGAGCCTGGACCCTGCTCTGGATTCTGTGTCTCCCTCTCTCTCTGCTATTCCCCTGCTCATGCTCTGTCTCTGTTTCTCTCAAAGATAAAAAAAACATTAAAAATTAAAAAAAAATGAGTCTGCATTTCCAAGTTGCACATGTAATTAAAAAGTCAAACATGGAAAATATCATTCCTTTATCACAGTAATAAAATATTATATTTTAAAAACCTACAAAACAAAGGAAAATATCTTCCTGTCTTACAATTCAACTCAACTGTGAGCATTTTGATGTAATGTCTTCCACAGTTTAGTTCAAATCATGTTATACTTTTTCATGAAAAAAAAAATTTTCAGGGTGCCTGGGTGGTTCAGTCAGTTAAGCGTCCAACTTCAGCTCAGATCATGACCTCATGGTTCGTTGGTTTGAGCCCTGTGTCGGGCTCTGTGCTGACGGCTCAGAGCCTGGAGCTGCTTTGGATTCTGTGTCTCCCTCTCTCTCTGCCCCTCCGCTGCTCACACTCAGTCTCTCTCTCTCTCACACACACACAAATAAATAAACATATAAATTTTTTTTCATTCATGAGAAAGCCCTGTATCACCCTCATCTTGCTCATTTTAGTGGGTATAATAGTCCACTGAGTGCTTAAACTTACACTGCCTGTATTACATTCATAACCTAACTTTTTTCATAAAATTAAGTATGTGATTAGCCTATCAGCAGCTTCCCCTGCCCCCATATATCTTAAGAGAAATGTATTCTGAGAGGATTAAAGAATCAAAATGGTAGAACACTTTCAATTCTTGTTATATATGAAAATCCTATTATGAGGAGTTCTCAGACGGCTTCTTGGTTAGTGTGAACAGAGATGCATTGTCCTGAAGGGGTTTGCAGTACACAGCAACATCTACATCTGGCCCCAGAGAGCCCTGGGCAACCCAGAGAAACAGAAATACCACACTCATCCTATGGAACTCAGCAGGAAGCACCCTCTGAACCACTTTAAAGTCCTAATATCTCCAGAGAAGACTCAATGCCAGATCCAAATTCCACTGTCCCTCTTCCAGAAATGACTAGGGATCAACAAGGAGGTTGTGGTTCAAAAAAAGGGGTGGGGGGGCGTCAACAAACCTAACCTTCATCCTCTCTCAGCTTACTGTAATAGCAAAATAAGTGACCCAAGTAATCCCTGAATAATTTACTGTATCTCACCCCAAATGGGAGTTATTCTAGAGAGACTGGAGGAAGGGCATGCATGCTTTACCTCCAAACTAAATTTGTCTCTGCTCTGAAATTATCTTGTTAAAGAATGATTGTTGAAGTCTCCTTGGCAGACAGTGTTTCATTACCTTCACGTGTTCTACATGGCGACCGTGTGTGCTATGTGGACAACTGTGTCCATGACTCAGTGCTCACCACGGTATGTGTGGTCACTGAAATGTATCTTATCGACGTAGGTGGTTCACTGTAGCAGGTCAGCAGTTAGGGCACAGGAGCCACTGTGAGGCTACTGTGACTTGTTGAAACATATACCCGGGCTAAATCACTGACTACGTTCAGAGGGAGAAATGATTTCTTGTGAGAGGCCAATCTCTACTTACCATTTGTATAAGGGTTGACAGTCTTTTTATTTGTCATTACACGTGCTGTGGCATTATTTACCTACACACATAGAAAACTCAAATGAGCACATATGCCAGGACCAGCCTCCAGTTCAATTAGTTGCATGCATTATGACTGTGATAACTTATTTAAAAAAAAAACTAAAATGCATTTTAATTTATAAAAGGCAGTAGATGCATAACAAAATCATACATTTTTATAATTACATTTACTTCATAACCATTTTAACTTACAAATCATTTCAATAAAGCAATGTCATATCATTTAAAAGTTTAATAAGGAGACAGTAAAAGCAAATTAAAAGGAACTGCGTAATTGAAGACTGAAAACCATGCATGTACTCCATGGTAACACAGAAACAATAAATATTTTTAAACACAAAATAAAACTCATATGAAGGAACATGCAGTGGAGAAGAGGGAAGAGACAAGGTACAAGGGAACATAAATGTCAAAAAGGAAAAGAAAAGAAAAAAAGGGACAAACAAGATTTAGCCGTGTGCAACACTTTAGGAAGGAAGAACCATTGGGGAAGCAACATCTAGCATTCAACACTAGGAACAAGAGCCTTTGACATCGCAAGAATTAACAAGATCATTCAAGCTTGAAAGTCACAGCTAACAAAAGGATAAAAGAGAGGGTGCATCGTTTAACACAATATGGAGTTAACAATCTGAGTAAGATGTGCACTGTCATATCCCAATCCAATCAGTGCCTCCCAGGCTCGCTTAGAACGTACACTCAATTACAGGCGTACCGGTACCCAAAAAAATAGAGCATCAAGAAAACTTAATACGACAAGTCAAAAAAATCCACGTGGTATATATATGTATATAGATAATCAGCACTAAATACGTGAAGCGGCAGATGGACTTCACCACTTACCATTCACCACCATCGCCAGCATGGGTTTGTATACAGTTACCATGGTTACTGAGAGTTTGGTGAGGGGCCTAAGCGTTATCGTCGAGGGGGGGAAAATGAAAGGCAAAATATGCAACATCTTACTCCAAAGACTAAAGCATTTTTAACTGGTATTTTTTTTTTAAAGTTTTAACAAATATAACCCTGTGGCCACGTTGAGGGAGATCCAGTGGTAGAAAGAGAAAATTCTGAGCAATGTAATTTTAGCATTTTTTATATTTATTATTTTCAGGGAAGAGGGGCCAGATATTGAACAGGAAATCCTGTTCAGTTATTCACTTTATTATCAAAACAATACAAAGATTCCAAGTGGCTTGTTGAAAAAAAAAATGAAAGGTTCTGTGACAAAGACCTCTCATTTTTTTTTTTTTTTAAACAGTTGTGCATTCAAATGCGACTGCTTTCACCATTTGGCTCAATTTGGACACCACTGTGGATCCCTCATCAACCCTGCAGTGGAAAGAGAAAGAAAAAAAAAAAAAGGAAAAAAAAGGAAACTGTTCTGTATTTTGTCTTGTTTTGCACTCTGTCTCCTCTGGCTGGGAATCTACTGCACCCATTAATGATAAAACATAGAAACTTAAAAAAAAAAAAAAAAAGTTCAGATTAGCCTTTCCTTTGTCTCCCTTTTGCCATTTACCTTTTCATCAGTAATAAGAATAACAGGATAAAGTAAAATTTAAAAAAAAAGTAAGGCCAGTTTTCCTTTTTATATATAAATATAAATATAAATATATATATATATATATATATATATAAACAGTGAGAAGGGGACAGGGGCACATACAAAACACAGTGATGCATCTGGCACGACGAATGAGCGCGAAGCAGACATTTATGAAAAAGATGAAAAGGAAAATATTTTGGACATGCACCTCGATTTTACGGCCCTCTACCACGGTGCCGTGTAATTTCTCCCTCGCCCTGTCCGCATCGGCACTATTTTCGAAAGTTACGAAACCAAATCCCTGCATGCAGGAGGGAAGAGGGAAAACAACATGCAGATTATTATTCCAGTCAACGACCACTGCGGAACGTTCTCTCGCTTTAAGTTCTATTGCTTGTCCTGGCTTCAGTTCTGTAACATGCAAATTAGAGAAATTATAAGGATACGAAGGTGTGCAATAAGTAAGCGACACATGTGAACGAGATTTTTTTTTCTGTCACCCGTGATCTGTAACCCCTGAAGTATTCAAAGAAGGATACCAAAGATACCTCTCTACATGACACTACAGAAGAAAATAACTCTAACAGAAAGGAAATGAGATCCAAATCAATTTACAGTGTCTTCACAGAGAAGAAAATGAAATAACGGGAGGGGTGGGGGGGGGTAAAAAAAAAAAAAAAGGAACCGCTTTCTGGACATGCAAATTAAGAATAAAATAAAATAAAACGTGTGCACGAAATTCAACAATGAATGCCAAAATCTTCTAACATTGCCTACAGAGTCATGCCGTGTGGTTTTAAGAACATCTCTTCTTCATGCAGTTTTAGGGTTATTCAAATTTGTCAAGTTTACAGCCTTTACTTCTCAAAAATAAAAATTAGAAGCCTAAAAAAAAGGAAAGACCTTTTTTTATAATAAATCTTAAACTCTTTGATCTAATAAACAAAAATCACATGAAATGAATTGAAATAAACATCAACTGATTAATAACAATGCAAACAGTTCAAGTAACTTTTTTTATATTAATTACCTCCCCCACCCCACCTCAAAAATATATATCCTTCTAAATCTGTTAACTTTCCAGGCTACTTCATTAACCGAAAAGGGAAATGTATATATACATATTATAACGTTCTAACACATTATCTTGACATTCATCTCTGAAATCAACAGGTAGAAAAATACAGAAGCTTTTGTTAATAGAACGTTATTCACAATAACACTCTAGGCACTTCCTCTCTTACTGATAGGTAACAAATTAGACCCTCTACTTTGCCATTGGCATATTTTGCTTCAGTATTTCAGCCTCGAAAAACAACCCCACTAAACGTCACATTGTCAAAATCCACCTTTTTTTCCTTCACTGACACTGTTCCTAAGAAGAGTACAGAAAATATGACACATTATTTTTACAACCCCTAAAAATATTTGTACATCTTGTTCAGAAATATACACCAACCTTTTGAAACCATTCCAGTGTAAATTTGCCCAACTCGTTCTGGTTCTCACAGTGTAAACCGGGTGAGACAATGCAGTGTGTTGGGATTCCTATTTGTGATTGGGTAAATGTTCGTAAGGGGACAGGCTGGTTTTAAGTTTAACTGGGGCAGTCTGATGTTCAGTGTCATTAATAAAATACACAGTAATTATAAATAACAAGTTATCCTAACCCACTGGTGCTAATTCTCAACCCCTCACTATGTTGCTAAAGTGATTTCCAAAGCTTAGGGTATTTGCCCCAAGGTCTGCCTGAGTGAGAACTTTCCAACGTCAATGTGGGCTCGTTGGTAGAAGATACCAGCTGTGGATGGACTCAAGTTAAATTAAATGTTATTTGACAGAATTCAATAGAGAAAAAAATAAGCAGCTTTACTTTGGAGGACTGGAATGAAGAATCTTTTATAATATTTCCCACAGTGAGGATCTATGATTAGGACAGGTCTGGATTATTTGATCGACAGAAGACTTTATGTTCCATAACTCTGTTATGGACTGCTTGGTCTCATACCTCACTGGTGCTATGCTCACATTAGGTATCCACTAGACTGGCTAACTGATCAGTTTTGAAATAACAACCCTTCAAAGGACTAAAGACAAAATTTGGGGGGTTTGCTCTATTAATGGCTCTGACTCTTGGTCAGTGGGTCCCAAACTTGGCTGCACAATGAAAGGAACTGGGGACCACAGCGTATTAAACATGTAGATTCCTGAGAGGGCTTCTACCTATTGGATCAGAACCCCATAGTGGAGCCCAGAAATCTGTTTGTTGAAAAAGCTACTGTGTGGTGCAGCAACTAAATTTCCATAGCCTCTCCTATCACCAGGCGCCCTCAAAGGAAAGTTTTGGATCATTGAGGTAGAACATTAGGTTGCGCACTTACAGTGCACAGCCTTTGGAGAGGAGTGAGTTTGGGAGGGGGACATCTATCTGACTTGGTTATTTGGATCTGAGGTGCAGGGGTACAGCCCTTATTTTACAGTAATGTCCACTTCCTCCCTTCAAAACCTAACCATCTAGCTGTCACAGAATGTCATATATCTAACAGAAAAGGGCAGTGAGGACGCTGGCTGCAGCAGGGGAAATTCTCTCCCTAGCAAGCAAAGAAAATGCACAGTCTGATGGAGGTTTCTGTGGCCTCATTGCTATCCGCGGGTACCAGTCACTAGCATCACAGCACCTAGTGAAATGGAACATTCTACCCACCTGCCAAACGTCATCCCAAAGAATCACGTCATCATGATTCTCATCTGACCCCAAGGTAGACTAGACTGGCCTAAAATCAGCACTATGAGTGGCAGGAAGACACAAAGATGGAGCTAGAAATAGGTTTAGAACCCCATGGAAAATTCATAAACTACAAAGCAAGTGGTTCACTATATTCCCAAGTTCTCCGTTTGTCTTGAAGTAAGATATTAAATATATGGATTCTTATTCTTACTCTCATTTTTGGATAAACATCTCTCTTTCTCTTTTTTTGTTTTTTAACTTGAGGTTCTCAATACTTCTTCCTTCTAGCTGCTGAGACGACTAGTTAAGATTCTAGAAAGTTGGTTTAAAGTTTCCTTATCCATTGGATAGTCATACCTCCCCACAAGGCAAGAAGTGATATGGCCTCCTTGGGCCAAAAGATTGTTGGAATTCTCATCTGGGGAGAGATGTCAGTGACCTGGAGGTTCTCAGGTACCCTCTCTGCCAAGTGCAGGTGCTGGGCAGGTCTGTGACCAGTGCTGAGGCTACTTCTTTTAACTTGGCTCAGGGTCATAATTCTATCTCAAGGAAGCCACAACTTGGATCTCTTTAAAACATTCTGAATATTTTTATCTCAGCCTTAAAAAGGGGAGACACCAGAAGCACATTCTGGACTTGGCCTGAGAACATGGGAGGGGGTTGCACTGCTGGCTGTGAAGCCCTGGAAGATTTCAAGGGCACGGGGCCCCGCAGAGTGGAGCAGGTTGTCTTTGTCGGAGGACAGGCACTGACCCCAGGGCTCACCTCAGTAGAGGGCTGCAGCCGAGAGAAGGCACAAAGCTGCTGAAGAGACCTGGCAACGTGTGCATGATAAGGGGTCTCCCAAGATGGGAGATGGCCAGTGTGACATGTTTAAAGTCGTTTGTGAATCTGGGGCGCCTGGGTGGCTCAGTAGGTTAAGTGTTTGACTCTTGGTTTCCTCTCAGGTCATGATCTCACGGTTCCTGAGTTCAGCTCCACATTGGGCTCAGTGGTGACATCACAGAGCCTGCTTGGGGTTCTGTCTCCCTCTCTCTTCGCCCTTCCCCTGCTCACTGTCTCTCTCTCTCTCAAAAAACAAACAAAAAAAGCTTTAAAAAAAAAAAGTCTTCTGTGAATTATGAATTTGGACCTTCCCATATCCTAGTTATTTTTCTGTTTTGGTTTTGAGGTATATGGTTAGGTGATACCTTCCGTTTTTGTATTAATGCAAATGTAACATGTTGCACCTTCAATAGAGGCTCTGAAGCACACAGGGCTGAAGAGGGCACTGTTTTTTTCATCTTACATGAAAATCCAATTCCTCTAGTTGCTGGTGCAAAGAGGAGGGCCACTGACACCAGTCTAGAGATTCATTTTCCTGTGGGACTAAGAGTTTCACATCTCACTTCTTCCCACCCACCAGTGCACATGCAGCTTCTTCTCCCAGGAAGACCACCTGACCTACCTCCTTCCCTTCCCTGGGAAATTAAATGTCCCTTCTTCCCAGAAGCTTTCCCACTCCTAACAATACTGCTCTGCCTGTTTGGCTTCTCAGCAGCCGCTCACCAGCTGCGTGCCTGCTAAAGAGTACAGCCTGCAGTACTGCGACTGGGTGCCTCCCATTCCAACTACTCAGGAAAACCTATGAGGACAGGAAGCACCTCTGTCTCCCTCACCATGGATTCACCTGTCTTCTTGTACCTGGAATGGAACCAGTCCTCACAGGTATCTACAGAATCAAAGATCAGACTGTATATTTCCTATGTATATTAAAAGTAGCTAGGGGCACGTGGTGGCTCAGTCAGTTAAGTGTCCAACTCTTGGTTCTGGCTCAGGTCATGATCTCACGGTTCGTGGGTTCAAGTCCCATGTCAAGCTCCATGCTGACAGTGCAAAGCCTGCTTGGTTTTCTGTCTCTCCCTGTCTCTCTGCCCTTCCCCGGCTCTCTCTCTCTCTCAAAATAAATAAATAAACATTTAAAAAAAAGGAAGTAGCTCTCACTGGCTGTATCCCTCAAATACTCTATTTTAGAGCTAACCAAAATATTTTTTAAATCTCCTAAAAGGAAAAAAAATAATTATAGGATCTCTCACCCCTGCATGGTATCAAATTCTCATTTTAAAGTCTGGCCCATCTTTTTAAAATGTGGTTTCCCTGTATACTTGCTATCCATGTATATATACATAAACTATTTACTATTTACACTCCACATTCTCAGGATAACATAGGCACTGCCTGTGTTTGTACAGGGTATACGTACGTGTACGTACACACACACACACACACACACACACACACACACACACACACACCCCACCCCCCCAAATACTCCGGACACACAACTGTACTCACTGAGCACTGCATGACCTGCCTCAGGGACTGTCTCCAAAGAGAATGGCCAGAAGATGAGCTCCTCACTCTTAAGGGCCCACCCACTTCCCCAGCTGCTTCTCCTGCACCAAATAATGAGAATGAGGTCCTCACAACGGTTCAGGTTCCTCAACTATTTAAATGGAAATGTTCCTTTAAATAGGACCCTTTCCTGTGGAAGAGAATGCTAAGTATGAAAAATGTCCCCATGTGAGCTGCTGTCCCTATTTAGCAGGTGCCCCAAAGGACTGTCTGGATGACACTCCAGTCAGCACCTGCAAGACGGGTTCTTTCCGAGGAAGCATTCCCACCCAGAGAGGCTATTTTTTGATGTCTCCTAATCAAAAGGAAAAAGCGGGTTCACAAAGTCAGTCTCTGGATGCAGCAAACTTAAATGGTCTTCATTGCTAAAGCCCCAGAGACAGGCTAATCATGGCAATGACGGAGGATGTATTAAAAATAGTACCTCCACTGTACTTTCAAAATAGCAAACGATATTCTTCTAATGTCCCAAAACAGTGCTTGAAAGGAATTAAGTAGCTTTTTCCAACCGGCAAATGTTACAAAACAAAATATAAATTAAATATATGTTAAAAAAATAATCTTTAAAAGCGGTAGTGTTACAGACTCAGGATTAGAAGAAAGTTGGCTAACATTCCAGGCCATCTTCTAGGATTTTGCCAGGAATATATCATTCCAGAGTGAAAAGGATTAGGCTGCATACATTTTTTAAAAAAATATTTTTATTTATTTCTAGGAGAGAGAGAGAGACAGCGTGAGCAGGGGAGGGTCAGAGAGAGAGGGAGTCACAGACTGAAACAGGCTCCAGGCTCTGAGCTGGCAGTCAGCACAGAGCCCGATGCGGGGCTCGAACGCACGAACCGCGAGATCATGACCTAAGCGAAAGTCGGACGCTTAACCGACTAAGCCACCCGGGCGCCCCCATTTTTTTCTTTTCTTTCTGTTTTCAAAGATTTTATTTCTGAGTAATCTCTACTCCCAATGTGGGGCTCAAACTCACAACCCCGAGATTAGGAGTCACAGGTTTTAGGGACTGAGCCACCTGGGTGCCCCTGGGCATGTTTTTTCTTAATGCACTTTGCACTGCAGGTACAGAAATGACCCCTATCCTGATTTTCATACAAGAAGCAGAAAGTTAACTTATGTTTCTCCCATCCTAAAGGTTCTACCACTGATATATATATTTCTTAATTTTTTAAATGTTTATTCAGTTTTGAGAGAGAAAGAAATAAAGCGTGAGCAGGAGAGGGTCAGAGACAGACATGGAAACACAGGATCTGAAGCAGCTCCAGGCTCTGAGCTGTCAGCACAGAGCCCAATGCGGGGCTTAAACTCAAGACCCACAAGCTTAACTGACTGAACCACCCAGATGCACCCCCACTACTGATATCTTATAAGACTGACAAACATATCCAAAACTATGGAGGAATAAGGTCCCTGAACCAGCAGAACCAGAGAGTATAATGAATTGATCTTTTTTTTTTTTCTCCTCACCTGGCATGTGGCAACATCATTTTGGCTACACAGAGGAGCATACTGGATTTTCTTCCTTCACAGCTATCTGCAGCATCCTATTCAGGAGGGAAAGCGTGCAGACTGCCCAGGGAATAATACATTCAAATGCTTGCTTTGTGGGAGGGAAGTGTCCTTGGCCCAAGAGAGCTGGCATTGCCCCCTTAGAAAAAATCAGCTCTTCTCACAACCCTCCTGGATACTGACTTGTCCCAAGTCGCCTGGTAAGGAAAGTTATGGGGCTAACTCCAGTATCTCTCTGTATCTGGTAAGCAATTTGTTCCACTATCCACATTCATAGTCTGGAGATGTAAGAAGGGAGTTTTAGAATTCCTAAGAGCTTGGGTATTGGCACTCTGGAAACAAGGCAGAGCTATGAAAAGGGGTCACTTTCTGGCTGCTGGGGTCAATCTCTGAGTCCTTTCCTAGGACCGTTACTGCTCAGTACCTGTTGCCAATGCCGAATGCTCTGTTTTCCTCAAGAGAGATTCTAAGAAAGCCCCAAAATTTTCTATGAGTGCAGGTGGAATGAGGGCACAATAGCCACCATAAAACACCAGTGGCCAAAGGGGCAGTTTGCATTCAGATGAAGTGTTGGCATTTGTCTAAGACAGGGAAAACACAGTGTTTGTAACTTTAACAACAGGCCTGGAAGGGTGCATAAAACACAGATTGCTGGGCTCCAGTTTTGAGTGTCTGATTATGGCTGGGCTGGACCCTGTGAATTTGCATTTCTAGTAAGTTCCTAAGTGCTGCTGCTGTGGGGATTGCATTTCGATGACAACTGACTGATACAGGGGATACATCAAGAGACATGGGCCTTTTTTCCCCCACAACATATTTCCATGCTGAAAAGTGCCTTTCCATATAACCCCCGACTTTTACTAACACTCTTAGCTTTAGGAAAATCTACTTACAAATTGGTCTGCTACAGGGGAAGAATTCAAAGCAATGGCAAATTGCAAAATGTGGAGTGGTAAACATACTAAGGAATACAATTATATTCAAAAGGTTGGTGTATGTGAAATTTTCTCCCCTACAACCCAGGAAAATAACTGCACTTTATTAATACAGAATAATCACATATTTACCTGCGCATGAGACTATCAACTCACTTTTTAATATAAAGAACATAATTATCACTGAAAAACAAAAATGTAGCAACATTATTTTTTAAGCATGGGTAATTTTCCTCTGGAAACTTGATATATTTATATATAGATAGATACATAGTTAGATAGATAGGTATAAAACAGCACTTTTAAATTACCCCCTTATACATTTACACTGAACCCAATGTATTTCCCACCATTTTGGAACCTGGAGGAGGTCTCTAAAGGAATTCCTACTCAAGTGCATTTTCACAATGTGCTAATTAAAACAGTGCAGTTGTTTTCCATGATGCATAGCAAACGTTTAAAAATAAGCTAAACAATCCTGAAGTAAATTAAATCGCTTACCTTTGAGCCTCGCTCATTAAAAATAATTTCAACATCTAAGATTTTACCAAATTGCTGCAAAGAAATAGAAATGTTTTATAAGCAAGAGAAATGGAGTAAATCATACTATGCACATTGGTAACTGCAACCCAAGTTAGAGTTTTTTTTTTGTTGTTGTTCTCTTTTAATATCAAGAATAGACATTTTAGGTTCTTTTATCCTTAGAGATGTGCTTGAACCAAGAGAAAGTGGAGCCACAGACAGATTTCTGTCTTGCTGGGTACCCCACCACGTGAGAGGGTATAGCACTGGCCTGTGACAAAATGTATAGTCAAGTGGTTAGTTATATTTTCTTTTTTTTTTTTTTTTTTTTATGTGTGTGCAATAACTTTCCCAGGCACTGAGCAGCACAAATGAAAACTGGCTTGTATGTAAACTGATCCTCTTAGGCTACTCTACTCCACTAACCACTGAGAGAAACCTCCTCGATGAGGTGTGGTTTTCATAGTAAAATATCCAAGCAGAATCTGATGGTGAGCATTGTGGCCATTGGCCCCAGCAGAAGCCAGAGGAACAGCCAGGCCATGGAAGAGAAGTTAAGTGCAAACAGATAAAAGCAAGATCCTCCATGTGGACATCCATCGCAATCAAGACACCAGCATAGTTGTGATTAGCCCTCGGGCTGAAATGTACTTCTCTCAAGATGATTCCCCATGTTGTTAAACAAACAAATAGATTTTAGACAATTAGCAGGAAAAGACTCTATAAGAAGTGAAAACAACTTGACATATTCAAGCCTGGAAACACGGTTTCAGATTACAAATACAGCAGCCAAATAACTGGCAGATGCCTAGTTAAATTTAAATTTCAAATTTTTCAGGATAATTACATCCCCTGCAATATTTAAGGCATACCTATACTTAATAAAGTATGTTATCTAAAATTCAAACTAAACTATTGTTATTTTGGGTTTTCCTTTATTTGCTAAATCTCATAGTCCTCGGGAGAGGTGCACATCAAACAATTGGTGATTCATAGTTTTAAAAGGAAGGGAACGTAGACCCTGAAACCAGAAGCATCTGCTAGTCCAAGATCTTTTCCTCTTGACATTGGAGTCCCTTCCTTTTTCTTAGCTTGGATGAAGTACAGTGCTTTTTTTTTTTTGAGTATGCAGGTGGCAGAGAGTGTTGTGAAAGTATGCGATGTGGCCCAGCAGAAGTATGATGGGAAATTTACCCTGATGCAGAATAAGAGCGAGCGCTCCTTTCAGTGATTAAAAAATAAATAGAACCACACGAAGTAATATGTCTATCCTCTCCTTCCTTTATTTTGAGCTTTTGTATTATTCAATTTGCTTCTGTAGCCTAGATTTTTATTGCACCCTTTGTTGCCCTGGGAGATTCTGTGTTCTGTCTCTTTCCCCGGGGTAGAAAGCATCAAGCAGCCTCCATGTCACAGAGGACACAGTGGTTGGGAGGCACAGAAACGGAACCAAGAATAAGAACACAGAGAAGTGGAGACAACTCCTCAGACCACTGTTCACAGGATGCCAGGGGGCCCGAGAATAAGTGGCAAGAGGGCGCTACTGAGATTTGAGAACAAAATTACTGGAAACATACAGAGGCCATCCTCTGCAATATGCAAATAAATCTACCTTCCTTGGAAAGACAGAAAAAAAAATGCACACTCCAGTTGAAGAGAAAGAGCCCAAAACCTTCAAATAATAGTAGTTTTTTGAGAAAAAGGGAATCCAAAGCGATGCCATGGAAATGTGCCCACCCCTCAGGATACGCAGGCGGTCAGGGGACCACGCATTGAGTCTGTCTTGTGGAGCGGACTGGTCCTCTTCTTCCCGGAGAAGGAGGCGGCTAGGAGGAAACCAAGAAGCCCCTGCGCTGGGGGAGGGCAGGGGAGGGCTACGCTGCCAGCAGGTGAGACAGAAGTACCAAGAAACTCGCAGGTAACTCACCCTGCAATTGATGGACACTCTAATTTCCTTTTGGTCAAGAGAATGTTCTTCTACAGAGCATTTTCTGTGCCCTAGATTTGGGCAGAGAAAGTTGTTAAAAATAGAAGAAGAAAACTTTCAGGTTTGGGAAATGCAGGATTTGCCACTGAAAGGGGAGCTGAATTTTATAGTAAAAACTCCTCCCGCGTGTGAATGCCTCAGAAGCAGTGATTTTGATATAACCTCCTTCGAATATTCAGTCCACACAGACACTATCATATTTATTTCAGGCCTAAGAGCATGAAAGCACACATATTTATGAGCAGGGAAGCTTGAAAAGGATTCCTTCCAAAACCACGAAGCAAATGTCATCTACGGAACATTCTCTAAGCAGTCAACATGAAAACACTCCCTTTAAAATAAGAACTGGTTGAGACAGAACCAACTGATCACGAAGTAATCCTAGCATGTGTCATTCCCTAAATGAAACAATGACACCATATGCCCTGAAATGGTCTCAAATGTTTGCCTCTCTGGCGGTTGCTATTGGGTGGGTGATTCTCAGAGCCAGCAAAGTGAGCAGCAAGAATACTGGTGTGAGCCCTGTTTCAAAGACAGTTGCATACT